CCAGGCTGGATGCGGCTTTGAGCAACCTGGTCTAGTGGAAGCTGTCCCTGCCCATGGCAGGGGGGTTGGAACTAGATGATCTTTAACGTCCATTCCGACCCAAACCATTTTATGATTCTGTGATTCAAAGATTTGTGGCAAGTGTGCGTTGGCCATCAAAGCTGATGCTCTTAGTCACCGTTGCTGGCAATTGGTGGTAGAGGACAATGCCTGTCCTACCCCTAAACTATGTATACGGTGGCGGAGCAGCCCTGTGGGGTGGTGGCACTGCCAGAGCTTGTGGTGTGCTTCTGTGCTTGGCAAAGAGGAGGAGAAGCAGAAACCCTTCCTTGGAGGAGAGCACCTCAGTGATGCAAAGACATGGGCTAGTCAGTGCTTGATAAATTTTGCAGACCTGAAGAGAATTTAATGAGCACCAATTATTGATCGTTGCTAACATAGTGGCTTTTTTATGAGGAGGGCCACTCTACGTGATTTAATAACACAAATCCAGCTGCAGCTAGGGCTAGGCTAGTTGGATAGCGGTGGGTTAGTGGTTTTGAAACACATACCCATGTTTGCTCTATCTCCATAGCTACGGTAACCTAATAGGACCTCAGTGTTCGTGTGTAACTTGGGTTCAGGTTGCATTGTAGGAGCGTGTGTGTCTCTATGCTTGCAGACAAGGAGTAATGATGAGAGAATCTGGAGAACTGGAAACAATTACAGGTCAAACTCTTCCTCCGACAGAGGCCCCGTGAGGCTTTGAATACGTTACATATAATTCTGAAGAACCTGATAACTAAGTTATTTCCTACTCTTGTTAGATAACCGCATCTTGTGAGACCAGAATGTAAGAAAACCTGGTCCATCTGTCCCCTTTTTGGATATTAGCGAAGAAAAAAAAAAAGGCAACTGGATGCTTAAAGGTGGATCTTCAAGTGTGCAATTAAAAAAAAAAAAAGATCTGGTTAAATTGTGGTTAAACCGCAACAATCTGCTTTGTGAAATGGAAATTTTGAAGCAATCCAAATAGTTCCAAGAGAGATTAAACACTATAAAGGAAAAAGAGTCTACAAGACACATGAGAGATGGGAGAAATGGTCTAAAATAGTTAGCATGCTCTAAGTTGGCAGTATTTAATTACACTTAGCGAGGTCAGTTTTTGTGATGATCTTGCCACCTTTTACAATTCGCATGAATATTTGGAACTTAATTGTTTTTCTAAGAAAATATTAACAACAAAAAAAACCTGGGAAGTTCATGGTGTTTAGTCAGTGCAACAGTAGCACAGTAGATGAATATTTACTGATTTTACGTGCTTAGGGGAGCTTCTTGTCTTGTTTTCGGCGTAGAAGTTTGCTTAGTGTTTGGAAACCCCGTTAGCCGCGTTGTCGTGTACGCAGCGGTAAAGAAACCTTGGATTGTGGCTTAAAAGCGGGCAGGTGATGCTCCGCTGCTATTTGAAGGATGACCTTATTTTGAATGATACAAAAATAACAGCAGATTGTTTATAATAACTGACAGCAGATTTAGATTCTTGACTTCACACCCTTTCCATTACGAAAAGAGACATATGTAAGTAGGATTTGCTTGCAGATGTATGCACATATTTTGGCAAGAGGTTTAAGACATACTGTCTATTATTTAAATTTTGGACATCTGAAGCTTCCCCTCCCCCGATCCCATGGCTTTAAAAAAGTTAGACTACTGCATTTCTATATTTTCTTAAACCTAAAGGAGACTCTCATGCATAATATTTTATTTAAATCTCTCTCTACATTTTTCTTGCATAGATTCATGTGGAAACATAAGTCAAATAATCATGTATCTATAGGAAACCTTTCAAGAAATACATATTCAAGTTTTGTAATGGTTATTTCCTGTGGCTGGAGTATCGACTGAGTTCACCAATGAATGTATTTTGGCTTCTAATGCATTATTGTCTCACAAAGTATTTCTGGGAAACGCATTTTGAAATGCCAGTAAAGAATATTCGTGCTTGGTAGCTGCCGGAAAGTTTACCTGTACAGACGCAGGGTACTGATATGTAAAGGGCTCTGAAGACTCATTAAAGCAGTTGGGATTTAGTGCGCTCAAGTAGCAGCTCAGAAATTGAAGACACTGAGAGCACTGACTGAAATAATTAATTAAGAGGAAACATAAGACTTTCTCAATATGCTGTTAGTTGTATTTATCCAGTTTTATTTAAAGCGTTTATAAACTTACTGTTCTTCTGACCTCTGTTTTACTGTGGATCAGACGTCCGTGGTTAGATGTTTTATTTAGATGTACAATAATATTTGAGAAATTAATGAACCTGTAAGAAAATACATCAATTAAATTATTTTATCTTTTCTTTTTCAGGGTTGAAGTGGATCTAGGGACGAATGGATGACTGAATATTCATATGAAGAGGAAAGCCATAAAAGTTGGTTGACATTTTTAGAGCCATATGCATTATACTTATTACTCCTATTATCAAAAATTTATATTGTGTTACAAACCATAATAGATGAAATAACTAGTCTGAGCTTCATCTGGCATACTGTCTTTCAGGCAGGGGAATACTATAGCTTAACACAGCTGCAGCTTAACACAACAATTTTTGACCAAACCTGAACGTTCAAAGGAAAACCTAGTAGTACATTAAGGAAATGGGTAATTCCTTTGAAGCCAGGTGTTTGACTGGGCTGAGGTATAGTGATGTTCCATTATTCTTATCTACAAGGATGAAGGGAGAATGAGAGAGGTGTTGTCTTCCTTCCGTTACAGCTACTGGCTATCAAGCTTAATACATCGTAGAGTGGCACTCAGGTGACACATTGACAAATGCAGTTTACGAAGTCAAACCGGATATGATATCTCTGAAAGTATCTTGGTACTTTGTTTTCTTATCATAGAGAGATGGCTGTCTTACAGCATGTATCTTCTGCACCGGTTAAAAAGGAAAAAGCTGTTAGTGGACCTCTGTACTTCAGTGACTTTTGTTGTTACGCTTTGTAAGGTGATAAAATGCAGTGGGCCTTGGCATCTGTCAGACTTGCTAGTAACTGTGAACTACAGGCTCTGGCTGGGACACTATGTCCATCAATTCCTGCCAAGGATGCAGCCCTGAGGAAAAGGACTTGGGGCACCTCTCCTATGATGAAAGGCTGAGAGAACTGGGCTTGTTCAGCCTGGAGAAGAGAAGGCTCCAGGGAGACCTTATAGCACCTTCCAGTACCTGAAGGGGCTACAAGGAAGCTGGGAGGGGACTTTTTGCAAGGGCCTGTAGTGATAGGACAAGGGGTAATGGGTTTAAATTCGAAGTGGGGAGGTCTACATTAGATATCAGGAAGAAGTTCTTCACGGAGAGGGTGGTGAAGCACTGAACAGGTTGCCCAGAGAAGCTGTGGATGCCCCATCCCTGGAGGTGTTCAAGGCCAGGCTGGATGAGGCTTTGAGCAACCTGGTCTAGTGGAAGGTGTCCCTGCTCATGGCAGGGGGGTTGGAACTGGATGATCTTTGAGGTCCCTTCCAACCCAAACCATTCTATGATTCTATAATATGTTTAAATAAAGTTGATTGTGCCTGTGCATTTGCTCTGGAGCAAGTGAATTCTCACAACAGATGCTGTGGCAGGTACAGCAGGATGCAGGGTGCAGTGCAGAGGGATGTTGTGCAGCAGCTCAGTTAAATAAGGCATTCTGGGAACTTCTGGTCAAGGAGGGATATGTCACAGTGGAAAACCTCTTTCCTAGAGAGCATTCTTTAATGCCTGAATCCCAGTTAGGGGTGGGAACCATTAAAAAAAATGGCAATACTCCCAGAATTTTTTCCAAAAGCACGCTCTCGGTTCAACACCAGAAATGTAAATCTATAGTTCTGTTAATCTGAGCAAAGTAGTTCAGGTGGACAAATATTCTTATTTATCAGTGATAATTTTATCAGTCTTTTAGTGGTTGAGAAGTTTTACAGTTTATCAACAACTGGCTTGCGTACGGAAGAGTTTAAATCCTTCTTGGGTATGCTTTTTTTAGTCTTTACAGGAGGTAGCGGACATGCTGATCCTAGCTACCTCCAGATTCACCAGCAGCATATGATTTGAGGGAATCATCTGTGTCCTTGAATCCGTTTTTCTGAAATAACAAGCAGTGAAACAATCTCTAGTTCAAAAGCATGCAGGGAGCATCTGCTTTATATACCGCAGGTCCCAGAAAACACCTCCAGCCTCTAGGAGTCAAATTTAAACCCTGACAGAGACAGCCAGTGGTATTAGTAGCTCTTCAGTGATGTACACGATTTCTCTTTGGGATCAGGGACCTGTATGCCCAGATACGAACCAGCAGTTGTTGCCTGCTAAAACCAGTGCACAAAGCCTTGAGGATTTTCTCTTTGGTTTGATTGCTGGCTGTCCACACCAATGTCTGACAGCTCGGAATGGGCTCATATCATGGGGGTGTGAACGCTTCCCTGCTCAGACCTTCTGGCTATGAATAGCAGAGGGAAAAACTGATACCATCCAAACCTTGCTTGCATCTTCCAGAACTGCAGTGATAAAATCCTGTATGTATGAACTCAGGGAAGCTCTGTACTGGCAGAAAGTATGAGAGGGTGCAAAGACCAAACTAATGATGTGTGAGCTATATCTCTGGATGTAGTTGTTACGATGGACTCCTCACGCTATCCAGAATACAGCACAGAACAGTACTACCATAGCATTGTAATGTTTTGTGTTAAATTGAGGAGAAACTGGGCCAGACTAGAGGACAATCTTAGGTATTTGGCTTGGGAAGTGACACCAGGCCAGAAAATGTTAAGGATTTGCCAGGTCCTTGAGAGATCTGTGCAGAGGAGGGAGGGTTTCCCAACCAGGCTCTTAGACTAACATGCCCTTTCTGCAAACTTCATGGGAATCACTGTGGTTGCACGAGATGCACCCCTGCTCACTCTGTGTCTCTCTTCCTCTCTCTGCTTTTGCCATTCTGGTTCAGTGCAGAGTGGTGGCAGGAGAAAGAACAGAACAGGGTGACCTCTTTCTTGCCAGACCATAGTTCCACTCCCTCGTGCCCTTCTGATGACATCCTGCAGTAATTGTGGGGAAGCTGCACAAAACACGGGCAAGACAAGGAAGTGGATATTGAGTTATTTCTTCACATGTTTTATGCCTGGCAGTCTTTGCAAATGTACGGCTCTGAATCCAGCTGTTAATCTTTCCTATTAGGAAAGTACCGTGATTAAATCGTATCGCCAAATGAGGAAAAAAATGTGGTTTTATGGAGGAATTCAATGTCCGAGGCTCAAAATTCCTTTTCTGGGAAGACTGATTCCAGAAAACTTAAGCAGTAGAGGTGGAGAGGGCTCCTCTGTGGTCACTGTTAACATCAATTGATAAAGGTCTGGCTCCAGGAGGAAAGAGATTGGATTTCACCCAGCACCCTGCCTCAGCCTTTCACTTTATCGCTGCTTTGCTAACCAAGTTTTGAATGCTTTCCCTTGTTAACGTGAGTGTGTTGGTATACCACTGGGGGTGTAAGCAATTTGGGTTGCATCGTCTGTATGTTCTTCTGACCTATGGCCACAGGTCAGAGGAGGGGGAATGTCCTGCACCCGGGGAGGAACAACCTGCTCTGGTGCAGGCTGGGCAAGCCCCTGAGCCGTCTCCTTGCAAGTTTGGAGCTACCCAGCTTTTGGATGGAGTTTGGACTCATTGGACTTCCAATCTTTTAGTTTCTTTTTTTTTGTAGTGATTTTAAAGTCTGGTCATGATAAAAATTGTGTTTGAAGGTGTCTTGAGGAATTTGTATGTTTTTATTTGCAGAGTCAGCATATTAATAGCAGTGAGGTGATATCTTTGGTTTTTGTTCTTAGCTGTCCCCTCTGTTTCCATTGAAAACAAACACAGTTTTCCTAGAAAGAAAGTGACTGCTCTTAAAGTAGTCTTTCACATCTAGCATCATTCACTGGATTCTTGGAGTATAATTATGACTAGAAACATCAACAGGATAAAATATATTAGTCTCAAGGGAGTTATTTTGCGCTGGCCATCAATCTATCCTTTGTCATGTGCTTTTCAGTTTAGATTACTCTCAGGCAAAGAGGCTGTAGTTTGGTGTTTTGTCTCAATTCATTATGATTATAAATATCTTGGCTAAAACAATGTAATGAACGACCACTTAAAAATGACTGATGGCCCCGTTCAGCAAGGCAGGGAGGCTGAAGTCCTTTTGATGTCATCCGTTGTGTAGCATTTATCAAGATGGGTCCCTTAACAGTTGATTGGTGGTTGATATTTAATGACTATTTCACAGTGTAAATAGATAGCAGGCAGTTTGTTGTCTGGAGCCCAGTCATATTCATAGGACAGGTCTGCTTTTACTTACTGTCACATAAAAATGTAACACCTTTGCTGAAACTCTAGAGAGGGAGGAGAACTTTATCCTACACATGATATTGAAGGAAGGAAGGAGCAGCAGAGATTTTCTTTCCTTTTCTCTTCCTTGCAAAGGTCGGCTGTCTCATCTTGCTCCCGTCCTTTCCCGTCGGGTGCCGGCAAGGCTGACGGGCTGCTGGAGGGCTGGGCAGCCCCTGGCTTTGCTCACCACTAGTTGAGGCCAGCTGGGAGTGGGGTGAGGTGGATGTGGAAATGATCCCCATGGCTGAAAAATTGCTGAGGGCATTTTCAACACATCTTTTCCGAGAAGAACAATGTATTTGAGATGCCTGCAACAAATCCCTTCAGTTTGATGTGTGTTTGTGGCATAAGAGCTTGTTCCTCTTCCCTTTGCCAAACTAATGAATGATTTCTGAGAA